AGAATGTCATTGGTATTTTGTTAGGGATTGCATAGAATCTATAGATCGTTTTTGGGTAGTATAGATATTTTAGCAATATTAGTTCTTCCAATCCATGTGCATATGATATCTTTCCATTTTTTGTGTGTCCCCTTCAATTTTTTTCATCAGTGTTTTGTAGTTTTCCTTGTAGAGATCTTGCAATTATTTGGTTAAATTTATTCCCAGGTATATTAAGTTTTTTGTAGCTATTGTAAAGAGGATTGCTTTTTTTTTTTTAGTTTTTTTTTTAGATCGTTCGCTGTTAGCACATGTAAATACTACTGATTTTTGTATGTTGATTTTGTATCCTGCAACTTTACTGTTTTGTTTTGTTTTGTTTGTTTGTTTGTTTGTTTGTTTGTTTTTGAGACAGTGTCGTTCTGTCACCCAGGCTGGAGTGCAGTAGCATGATCTCAGCTCACTGCAACCTTTGTCCCCCGGACTCAAGTGATCCTTTCACCTCAGCCACCCAAGTAGCTGGGACTACGGGCGCCTGCCACCACACCCAGCTAATTTTTGCATTTCTAGTAGAGACGAGGTTTTACCATGTTGCCCAGGTTGGTCTCGAACTCCTGAGCTCAAGCTGTCTGCCCGTCTCAGCCTCGCAAAGTGCTGGGATTACAGGCTTGAGCCACTGCACCCAGCCATCTTTACTAAATTTGTTTATCATTTATTTTATTTTTATTTCTTGAGATGGATTCTTGCTCTGTCACCTAGGCTGGAGTACGGTGGCACAGTCTCGGCTCACTGCAACCTCTGCCTCCTGGGTTCAAGCGATTCTCCTGCCTCAGCCTCCAAGTAACTGGGATTACAGGTGCCGGCCATCACGCCCAGCTAATTTTTTGTATTTTTAGTAGAGATGGGGTTTCGCCATATTGGCCAGACCGATCTCTAACTCCTGACTTCAGGTGATCTGCCTGCCTTGGCCTTCCAAAGTGCTGGGATTACAGGCGTGAGCTACCGTGCCCAGCCAGGCCTGTAGTTTTAATTGTTGTATTGGTATCAGGGTAAAGCTGGCCTCATAGAATGAGTTTTGTGGAAGTATTCCCTCCTCTTCAGTTTTTTGAGTTAAGGCAGAATTGTTGTTTTAATGTCTGGTAGAATTCAGCAGTGAATCCATCAGATTCTGGGCATTTCTTTGATGGCAGACTTATTACTGCTTCAGTCTCATTACTTCTTATTTGTTCAGGTTTTCTGTTTCTTCATGGTTCAAGCATGGTAGGTTATATGTGTCCAGGAATTTATCCATTTCTTCCCAGTTTCCAATTTGTTGGTGTATAGTTGTTCATAGTAGTCTCTACCTTTGTATTTCTGTGATATCAGTTGTAATGATTCCTTTCTCATGAGATATTTTTAATTTCTAATGTAAACATTTAGCACTTTAAATTTCCCTCTAAGCAGAACTTTAGTTGCATCCCCCAAGTTTTATGTTGCAATTTCATTTTTATTAATGGAAACATTTTCTGTTTTCCTGTGGGATCTTCTCTTTGACCCATGTTTATTTAAAAGTATGTTTAATTTTTATGTGTTAGAGGTATTCCAGTTATCTTTCTTTTGCTGCTTTTTGTTCTGTTTGTGGAGACATCATTCTTCTGGTTTCCTTTTGTTCTTTGTCAGTGGTTTCCTTTTGCTCTTTCAGCATAGTTGATTTAAAGTCTTTGTATGGTAAATATAATGTCAAAGCTTCCTTAGGGACAGTTTTTGTCAGTTTCTCTTTTTTTTTTTCCTGCAAATGGGCCATACTTCCCTTTTCGTTGCATGCCTCATGATTTTTTTTTTGTTGGAAACTGGACATTTTGAATATTATAATGTGGTTTACTCTGGAAGTCAAATTTTCCTTCCTCAGTTTGCTTTTGTTGCTTATTATGAACTACAGTCATCTGTTGTTTAGTGACTTTTCCCAGCTACTTTTTACAAAGATTGTATTCCTTATTGTGCAGTTAGAGTCTCCATTCCTTAGCCTCATTAGTAAGCTGAGATTTTCTGATCGAGATTTCCTGACAACTTTCTTTGTTTGGCAGACAGGAGTACAGTGGTACAATCTTGGCTCACTGCAACCTCCATATCCTGGGTTCAAGCAAGCTTCGTGCCTCAGCCTCCTGAGTAGCTAGGATTACAGGCATGTGCTACCATGTCTGGCTGATTTTTGTATTTTTAGTAGAGACAGGGTTTCGCCATGTTGGCAAGGCTGGTCTCGAACTTCTGACCTCAAATGATCCACCTGCATCTGGAGTTTCTTAAAGACATGATTTTAGCAGCCTTTTTCTTTTTTTTTTTTTTTTCTTTTTTTTTTTTGAGACGGAGTCTCGCTGTGTCTCCCAGGCTGGAGTGCAGTGGCGTGATCTCGGCTCACTGCAAGCTCCGCCTCCCGGGTTCACGCCATTCTCCCGCCTCAGCCTCCCAAGTAGCTGAGACTACAGGCGCCCGCCACCACGCCCGGCTAGTTTTTTGTATTTTTAGTAGAGACGGGGTTTCACCATGTTAGCCAGGATGGTCTCGATCTCCTGACCTCGTGATCCGCCCGCCTCGGCCTCCCAAAGTGCTGGGATTACAGGCTTGAGCCACCGCGCCCGGCCAAGACATGATTTTAGCAGCCTTTTTCTTTGTTAATCACCCCCTTTCTTGTTGTGAGATTTTTATTGAACTCCAGAGTTCCATAAAAGTTGTTCTGACAGTTTTTGCCAGGTTGATGGTTGTTTCAGTGGAAAGATAGATCCTTGGAGCTCCCTATTACTCCATTATCAGTGGTGTCACTCCTCCCTCCCTGCACCCTCTTCATGTGTGTGTGCATGCACATATTTTTTTTGTAAAAAAACCACACCATTAAATTTACCATCTTTTTCCGTTATTTACCTTTAAGCTCTGTTAGACTTGACAAATTTACCGTCTTAATCATTTTAAAGTGTACAGTTCAGTACTGTTAAGTATATTCACATTGTTGTGCAACAGATCTCTATAACTTTTTCATCTTGCAACACTTAAACTGTTTAACCCTAAACACTAATTCCTCCCCCTAGCCATTGGTCATCACCTTTTTTTTTTTTTTTTTTGAGACAGAGTTTTTGCTCTCGTTGCCCAGGCTGGAGTGCAGTGGCGTTTGGCTCACTGCAACCTCCGCCTCCCAGGTTCAAGTGATTCTCCTGCGTCAGCCTCCTGAGTAGCTGGGATTACAGGTGCGTGCCACCACACCCAGCTACTTTTTTGTATTTTTAATAGAGACAGAGTTTCATCATGTTGGCCAGGCTGGTCTCGAACTTATGACCTCAGGTGATCCACCTGCCTCAGCCTCCCAGAGTGCAGGGATTACAGGCATGAGCCACTGCGCCCGGCCTCTACTTCCTATTTCTATGATTTTGACACCTTTAGATACTTTGTAAGAGTGGAATTGTATAGTATTTGTTCTGGCCTTTTTTTCTTAGCCTAATATCTTCCGTGTTTATCCATGTTGTAGTATGTGATAGATTTCCTTTTTTTAAGGCTGCATAATAACTCTGCTGTGTGTACACACCATATTTTCTTTCTTTTTTCCTTTTTTTAAATTTTACTTTTCTGGGATACATGTGCAGAACGTGCAGGCTTGTTACATAGGTATACATGTGCCATGGTGGTTTGCTGCACCCATCAACCTGCAATCTGCATTAGATATTTCTCCTAATGCTATCCCTCCCCTAGCCCCTCTCCCCCTGACAGGCCCCAGTGTGTGATGTTTTCTTCCCTGTGTTCATGTGTTCTCATTGTTCAACTCTCACTTATGAATGAGAACATGTGGTGTTTGGTTTTCTGTTCCTGTGTTAGTTTGCTGAGAATGATGGTTTCCAACTTCATCCATGTCCCTGCAAAGGATACGAACTCATCCTTTTTATGGCTGCATAGTATTCCATGGTATATGTGTGCCACATTTTCTTTATCCAGTCTGTCAGTGATGGGCATTTGGGTTGGTTCCAAGTCTTTGCTATTGTGAACAGTGCCGCAATAAACATACGTGTGCATATGTCTTTATAGTAGAATGATTTATAATCCTCTGGGTATATACCCAGTAATGGGATTGCAGGGTCAAATGGTATTTCTGGTTCTAGATCCCTGAGGAATCGCCACACTGTCTTCCACAATGGTTGAACTAATTTACACACCCACCAACAGTGTAAAAGCATTCCTATTTCTCCACATCCTCTCCAGCATCTGTTGTTTCCTGACTTTTTAATGATCACCAGTCTAACTGACGTGAGATGGTATCTCATTGTGGTTTTGATTTGCATTTCTCTAATGACCAGTGATGTTGAGTATTTTTTCATATGTTTGTTGGCTGGATTAATGTCTTCTCTTGAGAAGTGTCTGTTCATATCCTTCACCCACTTTTTGTTGGAATTGTTTGTTTTTTTTCAGCCCAGGTGATCTTTTTGTTCCCTTTGTGTGCGTTAAGCATATACCGTTTATTTCTTCATTCACGTAGTAAACAGTCACTGAGAACTTATGCTTCATTGTGTTAGTAGGCTCCCTTAATTTGAAATAAATAATACATGTTCCTGCCCTCATGGTAAATTGGAGGCAACAGATTTACTAATCAGCTCTTAAATACTATGTAAGAGCTTCAGTAGGGGGATGGCACAGGATGCTATGGAGAGCCAAGTAGGAGGCATCTCAATCAGATTAGGAGAGGGAGGGAAGAGTTCTTGTGAAAGGTAAATCTGAAGCTGAATTTTGAAGGGTGAGTAAATAAAGTAACTCATGAAGTTATTCACTAAATGGGTGTTGGGTGAATGAATCAGAATTAGGTGAATCTAGGAGAAGGACATTTGCCGCAAGGATGCAAAGTAGAAGGGCATGAAATGTATGTGGTACATTCAGAGAATCTTGGAGTTGAGTATGGATTAAGTAAAAGGTACATTTTTAGGGGAAGGGTAGGAGCTGGAGTAGGTGTCATTCTGTCTTCACCCTTTGGATGAAATCTCATTTTACCCTGTTTTCCCCTCTCCCTGCAGTCTATCCTTCGCTGGAGTCTGACGATGATGACCCTGCTTTGAAATCTCGACCCAAGAAAAAGAAGAATTCAGATGATGCTCCATGGAGTCCTAAAGGTAATCTAGTATTCTGTCTCTTAAACTCTGTAGGGGTGGTCAGGGGAAAATAGACTTGAGGTAGGAGGGATATTTAATATCAGAAGACCTGAATCAGTCACTCATTTGTTTATTCAGCAAACATTTGAGTGTCTGCTGTGTGTCAGGCACTGTGTTAGGTTCTGGAGCTAAAATGACTAATAAGACACAGAGTTTATGTAATTAGTCCAATAAAATCAGAGGTAATGGAGCATGTTACATTTGATACTATATGGTTTGAGATAAAAGGAAGACCTTGAACGGATTTTAGCAAGCAGTTTGAGGCTTCTGAGAACGTTCTGATACCATCATCCCAGTGCTCTGGTAGTTTTGTTGTCAAGGAGGGAAATTCTGCTGAGTGTTGAGCTCTATAAGGTCCAAGATTATCACCTGTACTGAGAGGCCATCTCTGAGGAGGGAAGAATGACCATTGAGTTGAACATGGAGTTTAGAGGATAATGGAAGAATTTTCTTCATCTCCTTGGCTGGATAGTATTCACACTGAGGATGCATCCTTCAGTTAGTTTTTGCTGCTTAACAGTCTATCCAAAACATAGTGACTTAAAATAACAGTTAATAATTTCTCATGATTCTGTGGGTTGGCTGAGCTGTTCTTCTAGTCCAGGCCAGCTTGCCTGGGGCTGCATGGTCTCAAAAGTTCTCCTTCAGGTGTCTCAGACCTATTTAGATGGCTAAGGCTTCTCTCTACATGGTCTTTAGTCTACCAAGCTCTTCCACAAGGTGGCAAAAAGGTTTCTAGCAGCAAGAGAGGACAAGCCCCATTGTGCAAGCACTTTTCAAGCCTTTGCTTATGTCATGTTTAATGTTGTCCCATTGGCTAAAACAAGTTACATGGCCAAGCCTTGATCCCATGGTTGGGAAATAGATTGCACCTTTTGAGAGGAGAACCACAAAGTCACATCGCAAAGGATCATGCATACAAGGATACATGAGCACACCGAGGGCCATTACTGCAACAGTCTGCCATAGAGGTCATTGGGATTTCAGTACCTGTGGTTCCCCAGCAGATAAAGGGCTTGCTCTTCTCACCCTGCCTTATTTAGACTTTTTGGTGTTTCCCTGAGGTCGGTGGGGGGTGAGGTAGGGGTAGCAGGGCATTCATCAGAAGTGTTATGTTAGTGAGTTAATCAGTAAATGTGTCTTTTTAAAAAAAATTTGGGGCCGGAAGTGGTGGCTCACACCTGTAATCCCAGCACTTTGGGAGACCAAGGTGAGCAGATCCCCTGAGGTCAGGAGTTCAAGACCAGCCTGACCAACATGGTGAAACATCATCTCTACTAAAAATACAAAATCAGCCAGGAATGGTGGCGGGCGCCTATCATCTCAGCTACTTGGGAGGCTGAGGCAGAAAAATTGCTTGAACCCAGGAGGCCAAGGTTGCAGTGAGCTGAGATTGCGCCATTGCACTCCAGCCTGGGCAACAAGTGCGAAACTCCATCTCAGGAAAAAAAAAAAAAAAATTTGGCTAGGCGCAGTGTGGCTCATGCCTTTAATCCCAACATTTTGGGAGGCTGAGGCGGGTGGATCACTTGAGGTTAGGAGTTTGAGACCAGCCTGGCCAACATGGTAAAACCCCATCTCTACTAAAAATACAAAAATTAGCTGCATGTGATGGCATGCACATTTAGTCCCAGCTACTTGAGAGGCTGAGACACGAGAATTGCTTGAACCTCAAGAAGTGGAGGTTGCAGTGAGCTGAGACCGTGCCACTGCACTCTAGCCTGGGCAACAGAGCAAAACTCCATCTCAAAAAGAAAGAAAAGAAAACTTAGGCCTATTTTTAAATTTTATTTTCTCCTATCCTTTCCAAGTTTATTTTTCCTGTCAAATTTTTCTGGTTAGCACAGTAGAAAATTTAGAAAATATTGAAAATAAAGGGAATTATAAAGAAGGATTCATAAACCTATGAATCTGCCACCCAGAAGCAACCAATGTTAACATTTTGACATGTTTCCTTATAGTCTTTTCTCTATACATTTTTTAATTTTTATGGTTTAAATCACACATGTATACAATCTTTTTAAATTTTTTATTTTATTTTATTTTATTTTTTTTGAAACGGAGTCTATCTCTGTCCCAGGCTGGAGTGCAGTGGTGGGATCTTGGCTTACTGCAATCTCCACCTCCTGGGTTCAAGCTATTCTCCTGTCTCAGCCTCCCAAGTAGCTGGATTACAGGCACGTGTCACCATGCCTGGCTAATTTTTGTATTTTTAGTAGAGACGGAGTTTCACCATGTTGGCCAGGCTGATCTTGAACTCCTGACCTCGTGATCAACTTCTGTCATTCTTTTTTTTTTTTTTTTTTTTTTTTTTGAGACAAAAATCTCACTCTGTGGCCCAGGCTGGAGTGCAGTGGTGCGATCTTGGCTCACTGCAGCCTCTGTCTCCTGGGTTCAAGCGATTCTCATACCTCAGCCTCCAAAGTAGCTGGGACTATAGGCGCGCATCACGGCACCCGGCTAATTTTTTTGTATTTTTAGTAGAGATGGGGTTTTGCCATGTTGGCTAGGCTGGTCTCGAACTCCTCACCTCAAGTGATCCACCTGCCTCGGCCTCCCAAAGTGCTGTGATTACAGGCTGTCAATCTCTCTTGATTAACTACTTTGTAAGATATAGTTGTTGGTAACCCTAGGGTCCTTTTGTAACCTTCTGTGAACCATTTTTTCCCTTGTGGGAAGTAAATCTAAAGCTGAATTTTGAAGGGTGAGTTAGTACAGTAACTCATGAAGTTATTCCCTAAATGGATGTTGGGTGAATGAATCAGAATTAGGTGAGTCTAGGAGAAGGACATTTGCCGCAAGTATGCAAAGTAGAAGGGCATGAAATGTATGTGGTACATTCAGAGACTCTTGGAGTTGAGTGTGGATTAAGTAAAAGGTACATTTGTAGGGGAGGGGTACATTCCCTTTTGTAACCTTCTGTGAACCATATTTTTTTGTTTATGCTGTCAGGGTTATTAACATATACATTGTTGTTACTACTCTACATTGACTGACTAGAAATTAACTGTAAAAATTGAAAACCAATAGAGATATCTGGCCTTTTAAGTTAATATTATATCATAAGCGTGTTCTTATGCCATTGTTTATAAACAATATTTTTAATGGCTACAAGATATCAGTTCCATGGATATACCTAATATATATGTAATTTCTAACATTTAGGCTATTTTCAAGTTTTTACAATTAGTAAATTTAGGGTAAATATCTTTATATGTGAATGTTTATATCTCTGATCATTTACTTAGGATGGATCACCGTGAAACCTTAGAGGGGCCAAAGTGTGTGAGGTTATACAATGAAAAGTTTCCTTCCCAGCCCTGTTACATAGTCTTGTAGTTCCCCACCTGGAGTCAACTAGTGTTATCAGTTTTGTTTGTTTGTTTGTTTGTTTTTGAGAAGGAGTCTTGCTTTGTCACCCAGGCTGGAGTGCGCAATCTCCCCTCACTGCAAGCTCCGCCTCAAGCCTCCCGAGTAGCTGGGACTATAGGCGCCCACCACCACGCCCAGCTAATTTTTTGTATTTTTTAGTAGAGACCGGTTTCACCATGTTAGCCAGGATGGTCTCGATCTCCTGACCTCGTGATCCGCCCACCTCGGCCTCCCAAAGTGCTGGGATTACAGGCACGAGCCACCATGCCCGGCCATCAGTTTTTTAATTTATCTTCTCAGAAGACAGTTTACACATATACAAGCAAATGCATGTATGTTTTCTTACCCCCACTTCTTTTACTCAATTGGAAACATTTTATACACTGTTATGTGCTTTGCTTTTCTCTCTTAACAATACATCTGGGCTGGGCACGGTGGCTCACGCCTGTAATCCCAACACTTTGGGAGGCCGGGGAGAGCAGATCACAAGGTCAGGAGATCCAGACCATCCTGGCCAACATGGTGAAACTCCGTCTCTACTAAAAATACAAAAATTAGGTGGGCGTGGTGGCACATGCCTGTAGTCCCAGTTACTCAGGAGGCTGAGGCAGGAAAATCGCTTGAACCTGGGAGGTGGAGGTTGCAGTGAGCCGAGATTGTGCCACTGCACTCCAGCCTGGGCGACAGAGCAAGACTTCATCTCAAAAAAAAAAAAAGATTATTGATACTTATTGCAAAAGTGTTTCCCAGAGAAGTTGTACCAATTTACACTTCCATCAGCCATGTGTGAGTGCTTATTTATGAAATGTATGCAGGCATTGAACATACCAGTGAGGAGTAGTATTTGATTATGAGTAATGTCTCAAGCATCCTTAGTGAGTGCTTATTCTCTCAGAGTCACAAGATGGCTACTTCACCTCCAGCATTGGGTTGGGGTCTGGGCTGCAGTCAGGAAGAAGAAAAGCAAAAGGAAAAAGGGACAGGCATGCTGAGCGCTGAGCATTCCCTCTCCCCAAGGAGTTTTAAGTTCCCTTTTTTTTACACATCTCTTTGGCTGAAATTGTGTCAGATGGCCAAGACTATGAGCCAGAGATGCCAGGGATACAGTTTTTATCTAGGCATATTGCTGTCTCACAAAATGAGTGTTTTTGTTAGTAAATAGGAAAGAGAGAATGATACTTGGTTGAGAATGAGTAGTCTCTGCCGTGAGTGGTTTTTTTTTTGTTTTTTGTTTTTTTTTGAAACGGAGTCTTGGTCTGTTGCCCAGGCTGGAGTGCAATGGTGTGATCTTGGCTCACTGCAATCTCTGCCTCCCAGGTTCAAGCAGTTCTCCTGCCTCAGCCTCGCAAGTAGCTAGGATTACAGGCACCCGCCACCACGTCCAGCTAATTTTTGTTTGTTTGTTTGTTTTTTGAGACAGTCTCGCTCTGTCACCAGACTGGAGTGCAATGGTGAGATCTCGGCCCACTGCAACCTCCACCTCCTGGGTTAAAGCAATTCTGTCTCAGCCTCCCGAGTAGCTGGGACTACAGGCACACACCACCACACCCAGCTAATTTTTTTTTTTTTTTTTGCATTTTTAGTAAAGA